AATATATTTATTTATTTATTTAGCAAATTTATTTATTTGCAATTTATTTAGCAAACTCAGGATTGATAGATATTTAACTTGTTAAAGTATTTTTAATGTTATAGCACTATGATCTGAATGTGTCCCACAAAATTCATGTGCTAGAAATTTAATCCCAAACACCACTGGAGGTGGAGCCTATTGAGAGATGTTTAGGTCAGGAAGGCTCCGCCCTCATGAATGGATTAATGCCACCATAAAAATGGCTTGTGGGAGTGGGTTTGCTCTCTTTTGTCCTTCTGCCATGTGAGGACAAAATGTTCCTCCTCTCTGAAGGATGGAGCATTTAAGGTACTATCGTGGAAGCAGAGAGACTGGGCCCTAATCTGCCAGCACCTTGATATTGGACTTCCAAGCCTCCAGAACAGAGAGAAATAAATTTCTGTGCTTTATCAATTACCCAGTCTGTGGTATTTTGTTATAGCTGCATGAAATAAGACATATGGTAATATTACTTGACAGCCGAAGAAATTAATGCCCCAAAAGAGAAAAATACCTAAACCTGGTCACGTGGGCAATTAGGGTTAGAGGTAGGGCTAAAAACTCATATCCTGATTTTTCATATCACTATATTGATTCACTGTCCTCCTCAAGCAAAGAAAGGTAAATCACAGGAAGATAAAGGGAATAAATTCTTCCTTTGCTCTATTTCTTATGTAATGCAGAGATTTTGTTCTATTATAAAACAGTTGGGAGTAGATGTCCCATGCTGTGAACAAGTTCCTTTCTTTTACCATACCACAAACTCTTGGCTCTAGAGTATATTTCTTGTTTTGTCCAATTAGTTGCCGTACCACATACACAATCCCAGACACTCTAATATTCTAACATTTAATATTCCTTTTGACATCAGAAAATAATTGTAAATGATTATTTTTATCTGTTAAAAATAGTGAAGTTCACCAAGATAAATAATGCATATAAATTTCAGGGATAATAATTTCAGACTACTTGAAATTATGCCTAAGAGTACAAACTACTTATTGTCTTCTTTTTAAAGAGAGCAGGAAGGGATAAATTAAAAGAGTGTCTATGAAATACACTCACATTAGAAATTCAGTTAATAATGTGGATAGTTTGCCTAAACAATATTAATATATCATCTAAAATCAAAATTATTATTTTGATTTTCTTAGAATATTTATGCTTTGTAACATCTACCAACCCAGCAGGAAAGAAGAGTTGAACCAAGGTAACAATTTTGAATTCATAGAGTAGAAAAAGAATGATAATTTTTGAAAGGTGCATTTAGTTCTGGAAAAAGAAATATAATAGAACTCTGTCCATCATTGTACTTGCTAATATTAAACAGGCAGGAACACAAAGAATATGTGCCATGAAATGAATTGTGTGCCTCCTCCCCAATTCACATACTGAAGCCCTGCAATGTGATGGTATTTGCAGATGGGGACTTTGGGAGACGGTGGGATTTGATGAGGACATGAGGGTGGGGCCCTTATGATGGGATTAGTGCCCTTAGAAGAAGAAACACCAAAGTGTGTTTTCTCTCTCTCTCTCTCTCTCTCTCTCTCTCTCTCTCTCTCTCTTTCTGCTCTCTCTATGTACATGCACCAAGGAAAGGCCATATGAGCAGAGTGGGAAGATGGCCATCCGCAAGCCAGGAAGAGAGCTCTCAGCAGAACCCAACCATGCTGGTATCCTAATCTCAGACTTCCAGAACAGTGAAAAAACAAATTTTTGTTATTTAAGCCACTCAGTCTATGGTATTTTGTTATGGCAACCTGGGCGGACTAACATAGTGCGCAAATAGTTATACATGTCATAGTTCAAGGTAAAGCCCAATCCCTCTGCTGGACTTTTGTTTTTTCCTGGGTATCTGTAGGTAGATGTTTAGCGTATAACATACAATTTCATATAATATAAAGTTTTATCTAATACCCCTAAGGCAATGGTTCTCAAATGGTGGTGATTTTGCCCCTAGGGTACATATGGCAACGTGGGCAGGGGGAACGGAGCTACTGTAATCCAGTGGGAAGAGGCCAGGATGCTGCTAAACATCCTACTATGCACAGCTTAGCCACTTACAACAAAAAGCCAATAGTGCTGCTATTGAGAAATCCTGACCTAAAAATAAATAAATTTAAAAACTTGCATTTAAAAATGTTTCTTTTGCCCCAACTGCACCCCACTCCTGACTAACTTTTTACAACACCTGAACCTATCATGGGGAGGCTAACTAAATACACAAATAATTATAAAAAGTAAAACTTTCTTAATTATTAATTAGGTACAAAGCCTTTTTTGATATATCTAAATTTGCTCTATAATGTATGTGTGGATAAAATTGTTTGTGATAATGACTGGTCAGTAAATTAGAAACTTATGAGAAATAATAGAAAACTAAGTTATAAATTGTTACAAATTATGAATTGTAACAATTTATAATTGTATTACATACAATTATTATATAATTGTATTACATACAATTATAAATTGTATATAATATGGTAGAGCTAAACTGGTTTCTAAAATTTTTTTATATTTTTAAAATTAGGAAGATAACATATAAAAGTTTAACCTCCACCTTGTCAAAATGTTACTTATTACTAAAACCAGAAGTACTAGAATCAAAATTTTCCATGGATCCAAGGATTCGGTATTGCCCCATGTGATCCAAATCGAGTCTGAATGATGCCTTTTTCTTTTTAACACCATTTCTTCTTCCTAAAGTTCTTAAATTATCCCTTATGTACTTTCCTCCTCAGCCACAGTCCTCTTTAACAAATAAAACAAACTTTATTTTCAAAAGTCTTAGCATTTTTCCTGTGTTGACACATTCAAGATGATTATGCAAACTACATAGCACAAAATTAAAATGGTACCTTGATTGTTACCTGGGAAATTTGAGATAAAATAGCCAATTTGGGTAATTCAAGTTTCGAGAAAAGAAAAACACACACAACTTGTGTCTCATTTTAGCAGTAAGCTAGCCAACTTAGGACTTTTTTGGAGGGAGGGGTGCTGAATTACTTTAATTATAACTATGCAGTTCTGGCTCTGGAAGTAGTCATTTTCTTTCTCCTTTCATTCAACAAATGAAGGTCTCATTTCTTATGTTTGCTATGTTTTAAATCTGATCACAACTAATGCTCAGGGGAAAAATGAATACTTCTTTCTAAGTCAATTATTCAAAATAAGCACTCTGACAAAGTGAATGAATAGATAAGATACTCCGCTGTGTTAAAACTGATGATTCTCTCCATTCTTTAATAACTAACTATACATGACATTTATTCTACTCAAAGATATTTCTGCATGCCAAATAAACAAAGCTCTATTATATAATATATATCCAGAGGGCTACATTAAATATAGAAATGTTTTCATTATATAATATGTAAAATTTATATTATGAATACACATTACTTATGTATTTACAAAAGGTTATTTCCAAGAATATAAGACATGTTCCTTTTGTCGGTAATACTATTGCTATTTTATTTTATTTTATTTATTTTTTTTTTTTGAGACAGAGTCTCGCTTTGTTGCCTAGGCTAGAGTGAGTGCCGTGGCATCAGCCTAGCTCACAGCAACCTCAAACTCCTGGGCTCAAGCAATCCTTCTGCCTCAGCCTCCCAAGTAGCTGGGACTACAGGCATGAGCCACCATGCCCGGCTAATTTTTTCTATATATATTAGTTGGCCAATTAGTTTCTTTCTATTTATAGTAGAGACGGGGTCTCGCTCTTGCTCAGGCTGGTTTCGAACTCCCGACCTCGAGCAATCCGCCCGCCTCGGCCTCCCAGAGAGCTAGGATTACAGGCGTGAGCCACCGCGCCCGGCACTATTGCTATTTTAAGTACTAGTTTACAGATCTCCTAAGGCCACAATAATATGTTCATGGGACCAATAATTAGCATCAACAATAGAACACAGTCTAAATAAAGATTAAGTTTCAATGAAAACATTGTCAGTTGTCAAGAACCAATATAATATGCTCTAAATTCATCAGATATCTCAATAATATGTTAGGAAGTCTATGAAGCTTGATGGTCTTTAAAGTCTGTTTGGACATTAAGCTGTATTTAATAATTCCCCAACACAGAATAAACCATTGTTAATATGATAATCATAAAAATATTTCAGACTAGAATTTGTTGATCTTGATAATGAGTCAGCATCTCTTTCATTGTATAGTTATTGCTTTATTCTACTGGTATTGTAAAAACTTTGATGAATCAAAAAATTCCTTCTTACTCCTTTTATTAATTCTTGCTTTGGAGTACTATCATTTTTATTTATATCCAGAGTACACATGTTTTATTGTAAAATACTCTAATATACATACATAAAATACATACTTAGAAAAATCATGCCCACTGCTCTTACCTACCAAATGTATTTTCATGTTATGAAAGTATGATTCCTTACATTATTATATGATGTCACATTAAAAAGCCACACACTGAAAGCATAAACTATATATACATTTCATGTTTTTTGTAGAATTTTCACATTATTTGGGAATTATATAATAGATTAACAAAAAGTCTCATCAAATTAACACATTTTGGGTAGCTTTATGAAAATAAAATATAAAATCTATTTTGTTTTCCAAATTATTAATCACTTTGCTTTGCATTATATGATTGTATCTGTAGGTATAGCAGTATGGAGTTAAACCACACACTTTACAAAACAGAATGTGGCCTTAGCCTTGAAGATTTTTGATAGATACAACCGAAATGTTTAACCCTGGTTCAGTGATATGTTTCTAGAATTATATAAATTTCCACATATATTATAAGACATTCTCTCTATTTTTCAGCTTGTGAAAGATCTACAGCCTTCGTAACATAAGATTATAAAATGGATAATCAGATTCAATCATTAACGGCATTTACAAATAATTAATACTATTAGTGTTAATAAATAAGGGTTTATAACAAATAACCTTGCAAGGAAAGTACACTGTGTGGGCCAAGTATTGTTATCACTTACCAGCTCTTCCTGAAGTTGGGAAATGAGTTCATCCTTCTCTTTCAGCTGCAGCTTGAGCATGGAGCATTCATCTTTCATTATATCCTATAAAAACATCAAAGAGATGGCATAATAGGCTTAGCCCTTTCACTTTGCTCTTGATAAGGAAAGTCAGCTTCACACAGTGGGAGATAATTGCATCTGACTAATGAAACTCAAATTTCCTCTACAGTGTGATATTTTTTATAATATATTCTGTTTTAAAAAAATAAGTTGTTATATTCAAAAAATGGTTTTTTTTCCTGCTATACATGATATACACCACACAGACACACACGTTTTTTTTTGTATATAGTTCTTTTGTTTTCTTTTTAGTATCCCTTTCTCCATTTTGTTGCCTAAGAGAGAAACCAAGGAATCATCCTAAATTCTGTTCTCCCATTCTTGTGCATACGTAATAGGTGGAATAAAAATAACTACACATTACAAAAGATAATGGGGGGGCATATAGCAGGGAGACAAATCTTTCATTTGTCCCCCTGCTATAATTAAATATTAATTCTTAAACCAATGGTGATGTTACAATCTTCATCTTTAATGATGTCACTGTAACATTGTTCCTTTCACTAGAGCTCAATCTTTGGGCATATAATCCTTTTACTCTGCACGTACTCTGAGCCACAACCTCTATGTGCACATCCATGGCCTCTACTACTCTATGCTGGTAACTCCCAGATTCAACTACTTAATTCAGAATTAGTTGTCTTCCAACCTCCAGCTCAAAAGTACAACTACTTACTGAACATATTAATGAATATATTCAGCATTGTCCCACAGAAATTCCAACCCAACGTTCAGCTCAACAACCTCTTCCCTCACCCTGAGATTTCACTTCTACTTCCCCCATTATCTTCCTATTTCCTAAAATAATAATCAGGAATCATACTATACCCTCAGCTCCTACTCACACTTTGAACCAAATCTAACACCAAATTCTTTAATCTCTTCTTCTTTAATAGTTCTTGGACTCATTTCCCCATTGACTTACTCTAGGTACTCACTGCTTCTTCCCCAAATTTCTGTAAGTCTCTAAATCACTTTCCCTATCTGCCAGAAATTTTTGTGAGAATTAATTCTGTCACTTCCTGATTTATCAGCTAATCATCTTCAAGAAAAAAAGTCAAAACTCTTTAGCATAGCATATTGTGCCTTTCGTTATCTGTTACTAGCATATTTTTGGAGCTGCAAAGTTTTTGATTTCTAAGCTCCTCAACTTTTGCTCACTCCTACAGAGCTGAAATGCAATACTGTTTCACGGCTCCTTACTGTACACATGTACATTTCTGGATTTTACTGCCTTCCACTCACTGCATCCCTCTATCCCTCACAACATCTCATGCTCTAAGACACAACTCAAGAACAACTCCTTATCTCACTGGGAAGTTTCCCTTTGGAGATGCTCCTAAACCACACCTCCACGTCTGAACCAGACCTCATTCCATACCACACTTGTGTGTTGTTTGTTTGTTTCCCAGCCGCATTGAGCTAGTTTTCTTTCCATACTTGAACATACAGACTCTATTTCATTAGCACCGAAGATAATAATGAGCAAATATGAGATGCTCAAATTCATGTTTCCTTCCTTAAAAATCACCAAGTAAAACAGTATAAACATTAGGAGAATACCCATTTTCTCTGAAATCTGCCACCCTTATGTGAGCTGACAAAGAAGAAAACTGCTAAAGGCTTAGAGAAAACAGAATACTTACTTATTGTTCTCATGGTCTTAATAATTTCTACTTCCTCTACATAAAGCAACGCAGAATGTATAGTTCTAATGTATTAACATCTCTTTTCATTTGCTGACAAACATCTTGACTCAGAGGGAGATGCTGATTATCTGTCTGCCTCTTCTCTGTTGTAGTACTCTTATTTCTTCCCCACATCATGAGTTTTAAGGATAGAGTTTATACTCATTGTTTTTAATATTTATGTTCCCATTTTTAATAGTTATGTTCCTAGAGGGTTACTATGCCAACAGATGATACTGCCTAACTACATAACAGGAACTTAGCAAGGTCAAGACCTGAGGGCATCTGTATCAGTGAAAGTTCTTATGACAGTAAATAAAAACATATTAATAAGTGGCTTAAGTAGAAAAGATATTTATTATCAGATTTAACAAGATGATCAGAGGTAGGTGGCTCCAGGCTCAGTTAATTCAACAGCATAATAACATCATCAAAGGCCCAGACATTATCTGTTTTATTCTCACTCATCCTCAATTGGCATTTGTTCTCAGGCTTGACCCTTCATAGTTGTAAGGAAGGCAAACACAGATCCCAAAACCATGGTCTCAGTCAACTGCATTTAATATTGGGAAGGACACTTTCTACTCACATGTTATCTTTTGCATCCAATGCATATTCTTTCCTTTGACTCACTGGCCAGGATTGGGTGACATGACCAAGCCCTAGTTTAACATTAGGTATTTTTCAGCTGGCTGGCTCAGTGCCAAGACTGTCTGTGTTGAGAGGGGATCACTGGGTGTCTGCTACAGAATCTGACATTGTAAGGACATAGGCATAACCCTTAGGGAAAGTCTCGTATAACGCTGCACTCTTATAAATCTCATTATTTTAAATAACTTTCATTCAGCAATACATATAGAAATAAGTGAATGTTAAATGCTAGCCATTGAGCAAAGGGTGGAGAATACAACAATACAAAAGAGGTAAAAGAATGTTTATACTTTTAGCACAAGGAACAGATATTTTTAAAGTATGGATAGTATTATGTAAGAGAATTATTATGTTCTAGGGAAACCCAACATAGTCCTTTTTTTATGAAGTCATGTTTAAGCCGAGATCCAAAAGATCAGTATGACTTCTCTGTGGAAGAAGAGGAAGAAAATACACCTGAATTAAGGCAATCATATGTGTAAAAGAGAGCATGGAAAGTTCAAAGGAATAAAAGATATTTAGTATATATGAAATATCCAAAACAAGGGACAGAATGGCAGCTAAAATGCTGCAAAATAAGTGTGCTTCTTAGACTTTATCTTGAGGATATGGGGAATGAATGAAGTAATAAAGACTTTTTAGCAAGAATATTGCATAATTGTATAAATCTGGAAGGAAGAACAGATTGAGGGTAATAAGGAGAGCAGGAAGTGAGGAAGTGATAAGAGAGGAAGTGAGAATACTAACTATTAGACTATTATAATATTAAAGGAAGCAGTTTATAGTATATTAACCTAGGCTGATAGTAGTGGCCCTGAATTATAGATTCTATTCTTAAGTAGTCTAGGAAAATTCTCAACTATTCTCTGAAATAATTTTTACCAAGCTATTAATATATCTGATTTTGAAACATATAATAGCAAATTAATTCAACATAGTTTAATAACAAGCTTTTAAAAGTCCACCAAGAATCTTCAGCCCTTATTTCTAAGGGATCAGGAATCTTGGGGGATGCAGGGTTCCCTCTAGTTTAAACATGGTATCCCGCATGCAGTTCATTTGCTTCAGTGAAAAAAAAAAGTTCCCTCCTCAAACACACAGCAGAATATAGGAAAAATATGTAATATCTTGAGGGTTGGTTTAGTTTTTCTTAGAGAGTGCACTCCCAATAAAATACTGCTACTTAATGGAGAACTTGGGTTACAATAAATTTTGCTTCTTAGATACATTCAAGGCAAGGCTCACTTGCAATCATCCAACAAGAGATATATCTAACCATGCACTCATGAACATCCTACTCTCAAATTAATCTTCTCCGATATAATTTTCAAAAGCTTGAATTGTGTTTCTTTCCATTCAGGGTCTTATGAATACAAGGGTACAGGATAAATCTTCTCCCTATCATAGTTTTCCAATTGCCACTGGTCTGTAAAATACAGATTCAACAAATTAGCTTTTGTTAGGCATGAATTTTCTACTTCTTGCAGTAGTAACTTTAAGCAGCATAGTGTTCATGATAATATAATTTGAGTTATATGGTTACAGGCAAAAGTAGTGGTTATATTTTTTGAGAGAACTATAGGAAAATAGTCTAATAAACGTATTCTGTCATGAGGCATTGAATTGTCTTCTTTTATCCCTCCAGATATTAAATCAAATGAATAAGAGAACATTTTTTAATAGAACTATTACAAACAGGATCAGCTAATATTTATTTGGTTTAAACTGTATGTCAGGTACTCTGTACAAATTATCTCATTTAACCCTTACAATAGCTGAGTTAAGAACTAGTATTTTGTGATTAAACATTGAGAAACTAATGCTTTAGATGTGTAAATATTGCACCTAATCTCCCAGAACTTCCCAGTAATAGTATTTGGCCTTTTTTGCTTTAATATCCAGCTATTTCAATATGATGCCATATTGCCTCTTTCATAACACATCTACAAATATGTCAAGCATTCTCAGTTATTTTAAACACTTTTAATTTAATGCCATAATTCTGTTGAGTTGTCACGATAGATATTAATATTTATATTTTACAGGTAAGAAAACAGAATCTCTGAAAAATTTAAATACATCTTTCAAAGTTGCACAGTTAAGTATGTGAATGGAGACAAGTAGTAGAGTTTTGAACCTACACATTCTGACATCAAAACACATTTTTCTAGTTCCAGATTATTGATGATTAATAACAGGTTTGGTAACAGATGACCAGAAGAAAACTAAGTCAGGGAGGGGGATAGGAAGTGGTGAGTGTGAGATCTTGGCCTCCAGCCCGTTATGTTTAGAGGCATTTTGTAAGTTGTCTGTTTCATAGCATAGCTTGACTAATTAATTCATACATTTATTCAACAAATACGTTCTGAGTGCCTACCTTGTGCCAGACAGTGAGAATATAATGTTGAAAGAAACAAGCTCAGAGTTAAGAACTGAGAGGACTAAGTTAATTAAAGATTACTGGGGGTGGTGCAATAGGGAACAGTTAAGAAATAGAAATGCATAGCTTAGGCCAGGCGCGGTGGTCACGCCTGTAATCCTAGCACTCTGGGAGGCCGAGGCAGGCGGATTGCTCAAGGTCAGGAGTTTGAAACCAGCTTGAGCAAGAGCGAGACCCCGTCTCTACTATAAATAGAAAGAAAT